GATGAAGAATGATAGCGCAAATGTGGTATATGAAGAATCACAAGATGCATTATTGTTGGCAGTTCATAGTTCTGTTGAAGACTTGATATTGGATTCAGGGGCTTTGAATGTGGTAGGATATCTACCAGAGGCCACAGTGCAGGACAGTGATGGAAGTAAAGAGGAAAGTGGGTCCGGGGCACCCATTCCTATTGTTCCATAGACAGATGTTGAAGAACCACAGAGTTATGAAGAAATCTTGCAAGATGAAAGTTCGAGCAAGTGAGAGCTGACAGAACTTCCATTAGGGAATAAGACATTGCACAACAAGTGGGTGTACCAGGTGAAGACTGAGCGTGATATCAGTAAGAGGTACAAGGCTAAACTTATTAAAAAAAGGCTTTCAGCAGAGTCAAGATGTTGCCCATGCAGTGGGAGTTGAAAGAAGAGATGGGAATGACCCAGGAAATAGCTTGGAGGTGCAAAGCTATGTGGAGCATGCTGATATGTTAACTGATGGTGTTACTCTTGAGAAACTGAAGTTGCACAACTTCAGTTGGTCTTCTGGAGTGAAGACAGAGGATTTGAGTTGCAGAGGTGAAAGATTCAAGGTGGAGGATACATGTTGAAGAAAAAAGGCGACACCGCCAGTGGAGGATATCAATTTGAGGAAGGAGATGTTGCAGCCTGTGTACCGGTCTCCAAGTGGGAGAATTGTTAGAAACGGTGGAGCCCAGTTCATTATGCTTGGGTGGTTACTTTGCTTTAGAGAGTCATATATCTTCACAAATAACCACTTCTGCCTTCCTCTTTTGTGAAGTTAAACATCTCTTTGCTCGCTCATGTTTGTGATAAAAGCTTTGGATGACTCTCATTGAGTTTTGTAGTCACGCTTTGAGTTCTTCTTCGGTTTCCTCGGGATAGAGGAAGGTTTCCTCGGGGCAGAGGAAGAGAAGTGCAAGGAGTAGTTCCTTGCGGCAGAAGGAAGAAGATTGAAGAAGAAGATTGTTCTCTCTCAGAAGAGAAATTGAGTTTATTTCTCTTGTAATTTTGTCTTCTTCGGTGTATCTCGGTGTAGAGTTTTCTTCGATGTATCTCGGTATGGAGAGAGAAGAAGAGAGAGAGCAACGAAGAGTGAGAGATTCCTCTTGTAAGTCGAAGTGATCGACTGGTGTAAATTCCTCAAGTAGTGAAATCCTCTGCAACTCCGTAGACGTAGGCAATTTGCGGAACCACGTAAATTTGTGTGTTCCGTTGTATTACTATTTTCTGGTGTGAATTTTCTTGTTCTATTTTTTGCTTATTTGTTGATCGTTCTCCTGTTTGATTTATATATATACCACATCAACTGGTATATCTTGATCTCACAACCACAACAACAACAACAACAACACCAACACAAGTTGTTTGGGGATAGCACTTTCAATATGGCTTTCTTCATTCACTTTTTTTTAGTCACTCCAACATGCATTTACTTTTCCATAGATGAGCCTCACCATTCCTAAATATTATTGTTGATTTGTTTTTGTTAAACAATGCTACGTATTGATAAAAAAATCAAATTTAAATTTCGGTAAATGATGGAAGTCACCTTAGTTTGTTAATTGAGAGTTAAAGATCTGTTTGGAGAAGCTACAATTTATTAAAAAATGACTATAAAGTTGTTGAATAATAATTCAATTTTAAAAAAAATTGTAGTGGCTATTACAAATTTTTAAAAGTCAAGCAGTCGCTAGAAAGCTGTCACCGCATCTAGTCAGAAGTGATAATAAAACACAGATTTCAGCGACAACTTTTTGAAAAAACTGTCAAAGTGTAGTTTACTCAAACAAACAATACTGAAATGCAATGCCGCACCGCCACCGCACCACCGCCTCAAAAGGACCCTATTTTTTAATCTAACATGTTATCAGTTCATGCTCTTTCACATGGCGAATGATCGTCTTTACAATTAAATTTGCTCAATTATCCAAATAAAAAAATGGGTAAAATAAAAAATTTATTTTTTCTTGATTTAAAATGGCTCCCTATAAGAAAATTTAGATACTATACTAATATTTTTTTTTTCTTAGAAGTTTATTATATCCAGCTTTATCTATTTATTTAATTGTTTTTGATTGATGTGGTTGGCTCAGGTGCTATACTGTTAGGGTTTATCTGTATCAAGCATCCGTACAAGTGGTGTCTTTTGAGAGGACTCCTTGATTTGAAAGCACTTTGCTGCCTCTTCTTGCTTTAGCAGTACAGATGCCACTGCCTTTGTGAGAGAGATTGTATTTATTTTTAGTATTTAATTGAAATAATTTTAAAGATTTTATTTATTTATTTATATCAAATTAAAATTTTATTTTTAATTTATACCTTATATAATAAAAGAATGTTGCATACATGCCACACAATTTTTATGTATTTAATATCTAATATCTAAATTTTAATATTTATATTTATGATATATTGGTGTTATAAACCTAATTTTAAAAAGGTGTATTACCCTTTAATTGAAATAATAGTTATTTTTATATAATATTAAGGATTTGAGTGTTATGCTTGTGAATAGAAATAGGCGTTATTTTTCATTATTCATTATTTTCAGCTAATATAATTGAATTGGAAATGTAAATACATAAGTATAAACTTGTTAGACATGTAAATACAATTTATAAAACATGTATTTACATACGTGCCACACAATTTATATGATGTTAAAAATTTGAGTGTTATGTATGTAAATTTAAATTTGTTAGACATGTAAATACATAAATTGTGTGGTATGTATGTAAATACACAATTTTTTATGTGAGGTAGAATATAAGAGGTTGTCGTACTTATTGGTAAGAAAAAATAAATAAATAAGAAAATTAATTAAAATATGAGAAATGTACATACAACATATAATTCTTATGTATTTAAATATCTAACACCCAAAGTTTAATATTTATAGTTTTAACATTGGGAACATAAACCTATCTATGAGAAGATATATTTTTTGCATTTGAGAAGTTAGTGATTATGGTATTATTTATATGTTAAAGATATGAATGTTATGTATATAAATTAAACATGTTAGACATGTAAATACACAAATTTGTGGCATGTATGTGTTAAATATAAGAAATAAAATAAAATCATAAATAGGAAAATAGATAAATAAATAAATAATTTAATAAAATTATGAGAAATGTAAATACATACCACACAATTCTTATGTATTTAAATATCTTAACACCTAAAGTTTGATATTTATACTTATAATACTTTGATATTAGAACCCTATACATGAAAGATATATTTTACTTTTAAAAAGTTAATAATATCAGTGTTGATGTGAAATATTTTTTTTAGAAAATAAATATTTTTAGTTGTAGTCTTGTTCTATCAACAAATAGCTAAAATTTGATTCGCTAAGTGCGACAAGAAGTTCTCAAAAGCATGATTAAGGGAAAGAAATAGCCCATGGTGATGATGGAGCACTCATGGGCTATCAAGAAAATCTAGAATCTCATAAGTAACTTCCAAATGCTCTTTATAAATGATGATCATTTTTTTTGAAGTTTAGGGTTTCCAAGAGGATTAGGTTTCGGCTTGGATGGACGGTCCGTAGTTTTTTTCGAAAATCTTTTGTTCTTCAAAAATGGTCTTACGAATTTAAGCATGGCAAAGAATTTACATCTATTTATGTCTAGATAAAACTTTTGCATCTTATTTTATGGTGTTGGAACTCTTCGGACATCTCCAAAATTAGCAATAAAATTGGAGTTATGTTAGCCATCGATGGCCTAACAAGAAACGAATCACACCTCACCTCTGCATGCATTTGTCTCCGTCAATAAATGAACCTCCCTTAACTAAATAAGTTTTTCTAAACTTTCAAGGGAAGGAACAGCTCTTAAAAGTTCAAAATGATTGGAAATCTACTCCTTGCTCTGCATGCACTTCCATCTTCCATTACTATATTGCATATCTAATCAACCCCACCTGGCCAGCACCACCTGCCCCCTTTCAAACATATGTAATTAGACGAGGGAAAAGCATGAGCTAAAATACTCACATGCAACATAGAATTCTTCTATTTCTATGTGACACCACTATTTCCCCTCCAAACAATTTTACCTCAAATGCATCTATTTCTTCCTCTCCTTACCATTTGGCTTCTTCCATTGATAGACCTCCACCTTCCTCCACTTAAATCCTCGATTTCAACTCCCCTAACAACCTTCTGGACTTTTCTCATGTCAATCTCATCTTTTCTACACTGCCAAAATCCAAAGACAGCATCACAAGAACAACCTCCAATAAGGAATCCAAAGCCGCATCTTACTCCAAATGCATCACTAATCAATGACCCTTTCATTTGTAGGAGAGAATATGACCCTTTCATTTGAATGTCAGGGGGTTCCTTGGCCTGGATAGAATATTGACAAAGGAATTAAAAGCAGCTCATTAGAACATGAGTTATTCCTCAAGAATGTCATTAAATTGGTTGCTAAATAGTAGGAGCATTTTCACTCCCTCCTTGACAGCAACCTTCCAGATGCTCAATTAAATATTTCTCTCTGAAGAGTAGGAAGAGTTTCAGTAACCAACTTCTAAAAATCACTTAGTGTCAAGCTTCATAGATAACTCAAAGAGCCAACTCCAAATGGCTTGCAGCTAGTAAGAATGATCTTACATACATTTTTTCAAAGATCAAGGGCAGAAAAAAGATAATTGCTACAATTGGTTATTTACTTAAAAAGGCTCCTTTTCTGAGCATAGTGAAATTGTGGCTGCTGTGTCTAGTTTCTTTTAAAATTTTATATGGTGCTTTTTTGAAACTAGGTCACTCTTCGGAGCTCATCCATTCAAGAAAGTCTATTCCTACACACACCCCATCTTTTACGGCTCCGATTTCCTCTGATGATCTTAAGAATACTACTTTTTCTACTCCATCCAACTACACTCCTAGCCCAAATGAATTTACTATTGAATTTTTCAAAAATTGCTAGAATCTTTTAAAAAAATATAATGACATTCCATTTAAATAAAGAAAGTGCAACTAATTTCTGACAACCAAATAAAGCAGCTTCCATAAGAGAACTAACAGTTCTATAGCCATTAAAAAAATTAAAAATGAAATAAAATAATCCAATGGCCATGATTGTGATACTATATCTTGGCTGCTTCAGTACTTCACTTGTTTTGGTGATGCTTCGGTCAAGATTTGATGAACAGCTTGCTGGAAAAAGGAAAATAGAGATAAAAGTATCAAGCTTTTGAAGACATTTCATTAATATAGAATTGTTATTGTTCTGAGTTACCTTAATACATGTCAGAGCATAGTCAACATCATTTTCTGATATCTGGTAATGCAGAACAATTCTGATGCTGCGCATAACAAATCAAAAATGGAATTTGATCAATCAGTTTGGTATATGAGACAACTGGAAACATCATCATAATTTGGAGGCATATGTGATCAGTTTAATAAGATTTTTTTTTTATGAAATTTGATTGATAACAAGTAAAAAAACATAAGCCCGAGTTTTTGGGGTTCATGAATTAGAGGTTGCAATAAAAAAATATGAGAAACCACAGTCGTCATCAGCATTGTTAAGAGATCTAAATTTGAGCCTCTTCAAATTTTTTTAATTGGTTGATGGATTTATATGTAAAAGTTCACAAAAAATATAATGAAGTATTAATGCAAAAGAGCAGGGATGTCAAAAATTGACCCGACACATTAACTTGATTAGGAACGGACACAAAAAATCCGGGTTCGGATTGAGATGTATAATTTTCAGGTTTGCTTCGGGTTGCATTTCTAAACCCATTTAATTTCTTAGGTCGGATTTGGGTTAGGGTTTTCAAAAATTGTCCCTACACCAACTCAGCCCAAACCTAACTAAAAAAATTTGAGTTCTGGTTGAGTAGAATAATTTTCTGGCTAAAGAAGCTAACCAATTTAATTTTTCGGGTCAAGTTAAAAAACCTTATTTTTTTAAAACTATTTCCTAAGATGTCATTGTAAGAAAAATCAAAATTTGCATCCTATTATTTTGTTTTGCAAGTTAATTCTATCCTAAAATTGATGTTCTCCAAGCCCCATCCATGGAAGTAAGAGCTATACGCTGTTAAAATTTAAACAACTACTTAATTTTTTAGGAACTTTACTGTATTTTTGGGCTGCCAAATTTTTTATTTATGAAAGAGGCCTTATCTTTGGGTGATATTGGATAAATTGAAGAGTTAAATACTCCGCAAATGAAAATATAGTGATCAAAGGCGTGATTATGTACAAAATTCTTGATATCAAGAAATATTAGTTTAGAGCTGTACCTAGTTGAGCTTGAAGGAAACACAAGCACGCCACGCTCTCGCTCTTCCAAGACTGGACACAGCCTTTCAGGTGATAAAACTGAAGTATCTATGATGGTAAAAAAGACCTATAAAAAAAAAAAAAAATTAAAGCGACTACATGACTCTCAACAAATAATTTATTTGAGCATAGATTTTGGGCTGAATTGTAGGCAACTAACCATATTGGTCTCCACAGACTCTTTGTCAACACTAAATTGTTCAATTTGACTTAGTCCCTCTGAAAAAGGAGAAATAATATTAGCAATCATAAGAAATATTTCAAACAACATAAGAATAGGAGTAAAGTGCCAAAATAGTCCCGTTTATTTATATGAGGATATTTAGTTCGAGCGTCTATAAAATTATTAAATTAGCCCTATTTATTAGAGGCTAAATAGCGCTCACTGCGAACTATTTCAACCTACGTTAAAAGAGTCTGAGAATCAAGTTAACACTTTTACGAACTCTGAGACTAAAATAGCCCCCTGCTAGAGTCAGGGGACCATTTTGTCACTTTTCTCTTAAGAATAGTAAAGGAAACTAAAAAGTTTGCAAAAACTGCTTCACTGTTTATAATGACAAATTAAGACTTTTTTTTTGGCAATTTAGGTGCTAAATCTTTAAGCATGCGGCTCGAACTCATGGCATTGGAAAACAATCTTCTCCTTTAACTACTGGGCCATTGAACCCTTCCTGATTCTCAAGTTTCATTGAAAAACTAACAAACAAAAAAGAAGTCTTGTAAACTTGGTGTTGCGAGATGGGACCTGCCATCATCTTCGCCTTTCGATGATCATCTTCTAGCTTGTTAACGTTCTCGCTCAAAGCAACATAAGCAGCAGCACAAAGTACTCCAACTTGCCTCATGCATCCACCTAAGGCTTTCCTAAGCCTTCTAGCCTAAATACAAAAATAAGTATGGTGAAAAGCAATCTTTAGAGGTACTTTTTAGTGCTTCTTGCTAAGTTTACACATTTACCTTTGCAATAAAGTTTTTTGAGCCTACAAGAACAGATCCAGCAGGAGCCCCCAAACCCTTCGACAAGCAAACCTGAACGAAATTACAATAACAGAAAAATAATGAAAAGCTCTGGTATTAGTTGAGGTAAAGTTTGCACCACTAAACAAGTAAAAAATCAAATCATATGTGGACTTAAGAATATTAACAGAAATACCGAAACAGAATCGGCAGCCTGTACAAGTCTGTGAACAGGAACTCCCAGAGCCTGGTAAGCAAAACTAAAACAATGAGATAATAAATCAAGCTATTAAGCAGATAATTTAAAATACAAGATATAAACATGATATACTAAACTGAAGCATGCTTTAACATAGAAGATAAACGAATAATAAAGAAAGGAAGATTTACATAATAACCACTCAATTCCTATGTACATAACTAACACCTAAACTTCAAGTATTACAAACATACCACCTTATCTATCCATGAAAAGGTGTATTTCACTTTTTGAAAGTAAAAATGGTGATATTTTTTATGTGATGTGGAAAATTCAAGTGATATAAATGTAAAAAAAGTAAGGTTTAGGTGTTAGATAAGCAAATAAGTAAGAATTGGGTTGGTATGTACGTAAATGCCCCAAATTGAAATTAGAATATCAAATATATAGGATGTTATAAAAAAGGAGAAAAATAGAAAAGTAGCATATTTGGACCGAAATTTGATGTTAATGTAAAAAATGTTTATGAGCAGTTGAAAACAGCTAATTTACAAGTACTTTCTAAGCAGTGCTGAAATACTTACTACAGAAGCATTAAAGATGCGTGCTCCATCTATGTGAAGCTTCAAACCGTGTTTCTTAGCAATCTCTCCAACTCTATCGGTATATTCAGCAGTAAGGCATCTACCTCCACAACTACAGCAAGGATACAAAAAAGAAAGAAATAGAGGGGTCAATTGCAAAATTGAGAATGCAAATTTGAAAAATGCGGTTTACAGTATATTATTAAAATAATCTGATGTGGGGAAATGTATCCTAGTTTTATATCATCAATTTTGCTAGACAAAAAGCATATACTGCAGGAAAACATTGTCATAATAAATTTCAAGAACAATATAAAATGTATATTTCATTAACCACCTCTCTAGCATCCAAAATCACAGTATTCTCAAGTCAAACAATTATTTCCTTCCCAATTACCAGCTGTTGGTTTTGTCTCCTCAAACAAATCCTTTTTGCTATTTTTTAAATTTTTTTCATTACTAAAAAAAATTATATTACTAAAAACAACATTTTACAAGCTTGAACGAAATATGCAAGTAAATCTAAATTTAACAAAAAGAAATTCAGGTATGGGCGGGCCACTAGGCCATACAGGTCGAAGCATATACAGAGAAAGGTTATTCCAGCTTGGCAGTTAAGATGCCTGAAAAGTCCACAGACACCGAAAAAATTATTCTGCAAAAGTAGATACTTCACCTACAAACCGACAAACATTTGCTCTTGAATCTGTAGGGACAGAAAAATGTCCACGAAAATATCGGTGGCATAAAATTGTTAATTGTGGGGTCTAAACTGCCTTAATTGCCTTGGATTTCAGAGCAACCGAATACCATTTGCAATAACTTGAACCTGTAACAACAGAAGAATATCCAGGAAACTATTGACCACAAAAAATTGTTAGGGTCCCCTTAATTATTTTGAATCAGTTTTGTGTTGATTTCAAAACTGATGGTTACCAAAATCAAAATCTCTTCACCTTTGAGTTTTAAAGATTGATAACTGCCAAAACTTAGATTCATTCAAAATTAAAACTTTACAATTACCATATTATGTTGCGCAATAAAAGAAGATTAAATCAACAATTACAATTATCTACAACCACAAGCAAATAGAGAGAACAGTGGGAGACAAATGAAATGGAGCTCCCAACCCAGAAAAGAGAGTAGTTTTTAGGTGTTCGCAGATGGAGGAAGTCTACCTTTTCAATGTGAATTGCTGGTTTCAGTTCCATCAAAAGAAGGAGCATTTGATTGGACCCTTCAATAGATGAGGGGAGTGATAGAGACAACAATGCCGTGTTTTTTTGTACATCCAGCCTTTTATCTTCGCAGTAAGTAGCAGCATTCTCTCTCTTCCATTGGCATAAATAACTTGCTATTATGTCTTCATTTATGGAAAGTGTAATTTCTTCATATACCATTTTTAAAGACTCATAGATTGTCAGTCTTTGTGTGAATGGGAATATAAATGAATCTAACTGAATCACATAAACTAAGTCTTATGATTGTGAATATGGTGTATGTGTTCTTCATCTTAATTTCTGTTTACTCAAAAGTAAATAATTATCAAACAATTAGTATCAAAGTAATACTATGATGAGATAACAATTTGGAATCTTGAAAATGGAAAGTTAGACGAATTAAAGAACTTTGGGCTCTAGAGAACTATGATGCAAACTATTTTAATCCAACAAGGTCTAGTGAAAGTCTCCTGGGGAAGTTGAAGATTTCAAGGAAAATAAATAACGAAGGCGTGAAAAAAATGAGAAGGCTCTTCAAGAATTCAACTGTTTTTAATAATTGAGAACTTGATAGAGATTTTAAAGAGACAATTGCATGAGGCTTGTGCCTTAAGTTGAAGTCTCTACACATGACTAAGAACCTCTCCAGCTTATATTAGAAGCAAAGATTATATTTACATACGAAGTACATTAATCAAATCACATCTAAATGAGTTCAATTCTATTATTTATGACTTAAATAATTTTGATGATGAGAATCAAGTATTATTATTATTGTGATCTTTACAACCTAAGATATTATGTTACATTGTTATGATAATTTAAAGTATGTCAAGAATTCACTTCAATTAAACAAGATGATTGTAAGATAAAGAATGACAAGCATGAGTTTTGTGGCTTAAGGTAAAGTCTTTATACATGACTAAGAACCTCTCCAACGGCTTTATTTTAGAAACAAAAATAAAATTTACATGTGAAGGTACACCAATCAAATCACATCTAAAGGAATTCATTCTATTAGTCATGACTTATAATTTTGATGATGAGGATAAAATATTATAATTATTGTGTTTATTACAACCTAAGATATTATGTTACATGGTTCCGATAGCTTAAAATACCTTAAAAATTCACTTCTATTAAATGAAGTGATTTTTACGATAAAGAAAGAAAATTAGCCAAACCAAAAAGTGTATTGCAGGTTCGAATGAGATATATGAGCAAGGGTCCTACTCTAATCAAGATAGAACTAAGCTTCAAAACAAATTTATAGGAAGTTCTAGGTTGGAGCGGTTTCTGCTACTCTTACAAGTGGTCCTTATATCAGTTATTCTTGTCAAAGTGCCACTGTGTTATGCCCTATACTATTACTCATTGTCAAATAGTTTCTAGGCGTCCACGGAAGGGAATCAATCAAGTTTTTTTTTTTTTTTTAAGTTCCACAAACCTCAATTAATATCACAAACTTTCTCCTAGGATTACCTTGCAATTTTACAGGAAGATTTATCTTTCATCTAGGAATTTTTTTTTAAGAGGATTTGATGATTCCACCTTTGAAAATAAATAAGCATTTTTCCCATTTGTTAAACCCTGGCCTCGCCCCCACTCGATTTATAGAAGCAAGAGAGTGGTAGGTGGGAGGTAGGTGAGCGGTAGGTGAACGGTAGGTGGGAGGTGGGAGGTGGTAGGTGATAGGTGAGCGGTAACACATTACAAAAGTACCATTTTACCTAATTGGGGTCAAAATAACAATTCTCCACCTTGACCCTCAATTGAGAAGCTTCGAAGTAAAGATTCCCTCCACCTGGCCCCTGAGAGGCCCTCAGCCCTTGCTTGAGTCTGTTAGGTCCAAACAGTACATGGACTTAGCAATCACGGTTCTTCCGATAAGAGAGTACAACCCCTTTTTCCTGACTCCTTGTATGACGACACGAGGGCCTTTGGTTACTCTGATGCAGCAATTCTCTGCCTTGAATGAGCATCCGTTTGACTCCAACGTACCTAAAAAAATCAGATTTCTTTTTAGCTCTGGTACGTACCTGACATTTTTCAGTACTTGTTCAACTCCATCAAACATCCTTATCCTGATTGATCCACTTCCAACAACCCTGTGGGCTTTATTGTCTCCCAGTAGAACGGACCCATCATTTTTCTGTTGCAGTGTCTCGAACCAGTCTTTGTGAGGACACATGTGAAAAGAACACCCTGAGTCGAGGATCCACTCCTTACTGGATTTAGATTCTGTGATCACCAGGGCCTCAGCAGAATCGTAGTCATCAGAGGCTACGCTTGCTTCTCCTGATTCTTCTGGCTCTTCTTGATACTTATTCTTCATGTCTGGGCAGTTCCTCTTGAAATGACC